TCTGTGAAAAAAACGCCTTCTGTAGTGAAGCAAATATTGGGCATACAGAGTTATTACTCAGCATGCCCTCATTCAGCTGGGAAAATTGCTCCATTCCTCTCTTTCTGTGTGTTCTTTGGGCTTGGAATTTTCCCGGAAATATGCAAAAATCGGTGAAAAGTAAGGGGGGAGTTTTATGGTTTTTCGTTTTCTGAGCTTTGTAAAAAAGCGGTTACATTTCAGGAGATCATTTGGATAAAGCAAGATTCGGCTCAGATCCGTAATGCTGTGGTACTGTTGGAGAAGGAAAAGGATAACTTGCGCCAAGCAGTTCGTAAGCTTAAGGTCAGCAGTGCTCATTTTTTTAGGCATTTTTTGCAGAGTGGCAAAGGAGAAAAGCATGGAAGTGGAGAAGAATTCCAGGATTTCTGTATTGGGATTTTGGGAGATTTTTTTTTTAAAAAGTGTTAATATAATTGGTTGATTTTAAGTTGGAAAACGCACGAGTGAAGCAGAAGATGAAGCGCATGCAGGAAAGCATTAATGGGTTGACTGGGGTATCGGCCGAAACCGAGAATCTCAAAGCTGGAGCAGCCGAAGCCGAGCTTGACTACGATGACATCGGGCGAGACTTCATTCTTGTTGGAGGTGAACGATTTTGGTTTTTTTGGTTTGATGGGAACCCTGAAAGAATCCTCTCGGGGTCTGTTAATCTATCTCTGGTATTGCATAATCGCGGGGATTAATGATAAGATGAAATTTCAGGTGCCCAGGATCCGCTGAGTTTGCGTTTCGAGGTGTCGATCCGTGATGACCGAGCGATCGAGCATAAGTCCGCCGAGCGCTATTACTGGTTAGCGTTTTTTTTACGCTTTTGATTTTTATTTATCCATTCAAAATTGCATCTGGATCACTTTTTCCCAACAGAGCTAGAAGTGGATATTGGGAGAGGTTGAGGGCGGTCGTTCGCTGCAAAATGCATTCGATTCTGAGTGAAATCTGCGTAAAAAGCTCAGCAAATACGTGCTTAAAAGTTTCGGGTTTTTTGGGTTGTTCAATATCATCGAGTGTTTGCCACTGATAGCAGGAATACGATTTCAGGTACAAAATGGCGGAGCATTTCGGCGACACGGATGTGATGGCAAAGATTCTGGATGCTCCGTCGACTATGAAAGCGGAAGAAGCGATGAAGGAGATCAAGGGCTTCGACGAAGCAAAGTGGAATGAGGTACAAAAATAAACACACACACATACACAACTACGTGCACACCATGGTACACCACTGTATAAGATTTGGCCTCAGCGAGCCCTCATACGCGCCTAGATCTCGTGTACGGACTCCCAAAAAAAAAAAAAAAAATATGCAGATTTCTTCGGCGAGAAGCGATTTCGCAAACCAGGCAACATACAAAGCTGAAACTTTACCGCGCACGCTTGTATTTTTTCATATACATCATTAGAAACTTTTCATCCTTTGCGTATATATACCCTCAGCAGTGGATCATACAAATGTATGTCGAGTTCTCGTTTTTTTGTTGCAAAAGAGATGAATTTTTAGGTCAAGCTGTCGGTTTGGGAGACTGGACAACGTATGAAATTCGAGCAGACACGCTGGATCGCAAATCTACTGGTGTACACCGGCAAGACGTACATAGCGGTCGCTTCACAGGACAAAGTATGCTGCTTTTTTTCTGCATAGCCTTTCTCTACTTAGATCAAGTAATTTGATAAAGGCTCAAAATTTGCAGATTCTCGGGCTGAATGCGAATAACTGTTATAATAATTATAAAAATTTTAGTAATTTTATAGATTTTTTCTGATTTTTTAATTCTCATTTTCCAGCTTCTTTTTGATTCTTCTTATTTCATCCGTTGTTAATATACCTTTCCATTATCATTAACGGTCCAAAATGCTTGGAAGAGGCTTTTGTCCGGCTCCTCGTTACAGAGAAAATCAAGAGAGAGTCTGTGTTCGCCTATTCCTCGGTAATTCTGGGTTCTTCACTTTGGTGCATTGAGCGAAAATCACGAATATGTAGATAAAACCAGAAAAAAGTGAATCTTAGACATTATGTTGAGATGTTTTTTTCTTCAGATATTCGGTACAGGCTGGCGTAAAAATCGTGATGAAGCGAACAAGCCAATCTTCTGGGATGGAGAAAATCAGGGCGGCAAAGCGCTTATGAGACTCCGCCAACAGATTAAGGAGACTCATACTTGGTCAGGCCCCTATGAAGAACAGGTAACTGGTTTCTGGTATTTCTTCTTTCAGCAAAAATTCATGGAGATTATCGGTGCTTCCAAGTGTCTGTAAAGCAAAGATTAGTCTGTCTGGAAGAGTGGTTAATTATAAACGTGGAAAATTTACCGAACCCACTTCTCACAGCAACAAGCTGTTAATGGGACCGGAAACTGTCCTGCATTTGCTATCCTAAAAACAATCTAAAATCTTAAAAACTGCCTATAAATCTTGATAAAATCTATGAAAACTGCCTTAAAAACGAGCTGCATTTGCTATCAAATGCATTTGCTTTCCTGCAAAACTATTCTGCATTTTGCCTGAAAGGATTTTGACTGGAAAAATGTTTTTTTTTCAGGAGATCGAGAAGCGCTTCAATGAGCTTAAGAAGTACGTCTGGCGCCGTATCGATCCGGCCCGTCGTCTGGGCCTCATGCGTGGCCGTGCACGTGGTGGCTTCGGTCGCCGTGGCGGTTACGGGGGACGTGGCTACGGTGCGCCCAGTGTTGGCTTCCCACAAGCTGTTCGCCACTGAGATGCTCCGTCCACATGGCACAACCAGAGGGAATTGCTTTGTGTCCTGTTTTTTGTTTTTCTAAATTTTAACGCCATGCGCTGACTCTTTTCTGCTACACTGTTTTGGCACAAA